TGAGAAACGGCGGCCGCCCTGGGGACGCGCCTGGCGCGGGGGATGGTCCCCCGGCACGGGGCACGGCGGGTGCTCCAGAGTGCGCTGGGCTCCCTGACCCCGTGCGCGGGTGGGGAAGAGCATCCGTGCGGGATGCGAAGCGCCTGTAAGGCTCACCCCAAGGGTGCGGGTACCACCTCGTCTCTGCCGGCGTCTCACCAGGAGCACCCCCATCCTCACCGACCCTTGGGGTGGGGGGGCAAGCGGAGCTGAGAGCAGGCTTCACTGGGGGGGCTGTGCAAAGGGCTTGAGCACGATGAGCCCCAACACGGCTCTGCAGCCGTGCGTGGGGCAGCGGGGCCGGGCAACGCTTCTGGGGGGCCGGGGAAGCGGTGGGTGGTGTGGCTCCATCCCAAATCGCCTCGCTGCGGGAGCGCGCGGTACGACTCAGCCCTGAGAGCTGCCGGTCGCCGGGGACGCCGGACAGGCAGGGTGGCTTTTGGGGGACACCGGACAGGCAGGGCGGCTTTTGGGGGACGCCGGACAGGCAGGGCGGCTTTTGGGGAAGTGAGACAGCGACACCTCCTTTCTCCTCCTGTCCAAAGTTTTTTCAGCATCGAGCCTTCCCGCCAGCCATCCCCACCTTCCCACCAGCCACCCCAGCGAGGGATGGTGGGGAAACGGGCAGAAATCCTCGTGCCTTCGGGGCTGGCGGCATGTGGCACTCGGTGTCCCAATTTCGGCACTGTCCGAAGTGACCCGGGCAGGACCCCGCAGAGAACCCTGGCTGAAGCCCATCTGGCAGAGCTTCAAGCATGCGGTTGGCCTGGCTCCCCCTTTCCCCCGCTTGCTGGAAGCCTTCGCGGTCCTCGCCCTCGGCAAGCTCAGGTCCTCGGGGCTGGGGCCCCGCGAGGATGGGAAAAAAAAAAAAAGCGCCTTTTTCTTTGTGTTTTTTTTTTTTTTCTTTTCTTCCTCTCCCCAAGAACATGAGGCTCCTGCCAAGAAGCCGCGCTTATGAGTAAGATGTCAGAAATCCCACCCGCAAAACAGCGGTTATTTGTTGCAGGATCGCTGGCACCAACCTCCTGGTGAATCATTTATTCCTCCGCTTCTTCCCGTAAGAGCAAACAAGCACGTGCTGCTCCCGGCGGCAAACGGGGCCACTCGCTGCCCGCCCGGTCGCAGGCCACCGACGTGCC